AGCCTCCAACTGATGGCGGTATGCCACTGCCCAATTATCCACTTCAACATTCCTTTTGGACCACCAAGACAGGGACGAAAAGGACGTAGCACGGTCAAGGTGACCATACACATGACTAGGCTCCCACGATGCTTTGGAGCGCGCAAGGGCCTCGCGGAGGGAAGAGACCAGGTCAAACTGCGCCTGGTGAGGGGAGACTCGATGATCACCAAAGGTATTGAGAAGGGCGGAAAACCCATCACACGCTATCCTGACGCGGGGTTTAGATTGGAGCTTAGGCGCCCACTGTTGGAGCAACCAGTCAACAACCATGATGCCTGCAAGCAAGCCGATCAGTTCACTCCGATAGGCGCTTTGATCCTGGGGCAGTCCGGGAGTCTGGCACCGAACAATGACGCGGTCCTTCTCCCCTTTTTGTGGGAGTAGTTGGACGGCCGCCGTTCCCAGGGCTCGCTTGTATGATCCGTCGCTTATCACGCAAAGATGACCAGAGAGTAAGGCCTCCACCAGCCGTCCTTCATCACCGACAATCTCAAGTTCCTCGGGGGTCCATCCAAAGTACTCGTCAACCGCTGCTGATGCTGCTTCCCATGCGGTGAATAATGACGGTTGAGGAACTGGTCGCAGAGACTTATGCTCCTGGCCCACCCCCAAAATCACAAACTCCTCTAACCCATGCAGTGGCTGAGTTGTCACCCGGCATACATCATCTGGGAGTGGCTTGGTCCAAAAGGGACCCGACGGCGAGAGGGCGTCAGCGACGTCAAGGGCTGCCATCGGTCTTTTAATCCCAGCCGTCCTTTGAGATGCCGGCCTCATGTGGAACCTCCGGCTAGAGGAGTAGGAACCTGATCGGTGACCGTAGTGTCTCCAAGCGTGTCCATGACAATGAAAGACGCCATGCGTTGGGGAGACCAGCCAGTTCCAGTTGTCGATAGGGTCAAACCAAGGGCCCAACGGTTGGCGGAGCGGATGAGAGGGGTCATCCGACTGCAGAAGTGCCCGGGTCAAGGTGTCCTGCCATAGACGCCAGTGGTTCCGGTTTGGTCGAACTGTCCGCGGCCATTGATATGGAGACCGGTGGATGCCATCACGCTCTCCGCACCAAGCCGACTGGCGGATAGAGCGTCCATCAGCCGTGACAATATCGGAAACGGTGCACACTTGAAGGAACATACGACACCAATTGAGCCATTTCAGATCGTCTTGGTCCACCTCCAAATCCATAAACACTTCCACCAGCAGAGCGTCAAAAACGAATCGTAGTGGTAAGGCCGGAGAATCAAAGGCCACATAGATGTCCATGTTCTCCAGTTCTTTCCAGACTCGCTTTATCCATGTATCGGAAACCAAGACGGCCGTGTTGCCAAAATCCTGCTGAAAGATCCTGAACGAAGTGCCCGTTTCGAGCTGGTGTTCTTGCAAAGCGGCTTCCAGGTAAGCACCGGTTTTTGTCTTGTTGTTCGAATGACGGAGGAGAGTCTCGGTATGCTTGGAAACCTGTGAGCCGAACGGATGTGGGATGCCCAGGCCTTGGAACTTCAATGGAGCCAACACCATATCACGCGGAAAACTTCCGCAGATGCCGGCTTTTGGCAAGCAGACCTGAAGAACCGGGCTCATAATATCCACCCATGTTGCGGCCTCCAGTGTCAATAGCGTCATTGGATATTCCAGTGACTTCATAACGGTGGACTTGATCAAGGGGATCACATCGTATTTGTGAAGGTGACCAGACCAAACTTGTTCAGCCCACCTTTTGGCAATACCCTTCAGATGTGAAACATGGGCCTTCTGGTCCTCGAGAGGCGCAAGCATTACTCCCAATGTCTTCTCTGCCTCCCCCGGCTCAAGGCGACGGAGAGATTCCAATTTGCCGGACAAGCCCGGAATCTGAAGCCGGTGGTCCGGCAACAACTGATTCTTCTTCCTGAATGTCCATTGTCCCTTCCTGCCATCCCAAGCAAAGTCAATCAACCACCAAAAGGACTTGTCCGGGTTGATCGCTCCACCGGTAGCGCTAATTCCTCCAGCCCACACGGACGCAGCCGCCTGGATCGATGGGCAGATGTCCTCGCCGGAGTGATTGACCGACGCCCCTGCCTCACTAACGTCCGTGTCGTCCACAAAACAGAAGCACTGAGCTGTGACCAAGTGAGAGTTGATCGCCGTGAGACACTCAAATCCAAAACCCATTGCCACCATCATTTGAATAATAATAGAGCTGACCGAGACCCAGATGGGGGGACCAGCCCCGTTACCTTGTCCGCACCCTTGGAAAGGAATCATTGACGGCGGTCGGAAGCTTGCTTCGGAGTCTCCAAAGCCAGTTCGTACTTGATGTGTGGACGTTGCCAGCGTGTCAAACATCATCCAAAGTGCGTTCCACGTTATGGCCAACCGCATCATGGCAACCACTGCCACCCAGTGAACTACCCGATCAAAGCATGACTTGGCATCGTTCGAAATCCACCCTGCCGATCGACGCTGGAGAATCAGGAGGTCCCACACCAGCCGCTTTGACAGGGCAAGATCGATCGCTTGATGGTGCTTTCGGGACCCGCATTGACCATCAGCAATCAGGTGATGTTCTTCGCCATAAGTCATGGCCAGACGGCCAAGTTGCTTATAATTGGCCTGGGATTCAGAGTTCATCAACTGAATTGTGCGCATTTTCTTCAGGCGAAACTCCCCGGGCTTCTTTTCGATGGCAAAGTTCATTAAATGTCGCCAGTTGTCAGGAACGAACCCAGTAGTTAGAGGGATATGCCGAAACAAGGCGTCACACTGGGCGATCATAGGGGAGAGAATCCCAGCTTTAAAGTGGCCATTATGCAGGCCATGAGGTTCAGAGCCCTTGTGTTCCGGATTCCGAGACCAGAAGTAGGTGTGATCTTCAGTAGAAACCTCCAGAAGGGATGTAGAATAATCTTTGTGGAACCTGCACTGAGAAAGGAAAGACCGAGTTGGATAGTCAATGCCATCTGGTATAGGAAGACGCCCTTCAAGAAGGGCGAGGGAGTTTTGTTCCGCGTCATGGCCATTAAACATTTGGTACAATGGAGCATCCATTGGAGGGGTCATATGAGGCGATCTGGTCTGATCATACCGTGCACAATTCTCCTGCATGCACCCCTGTTCCACTTGACTCCTTTCAGAGACAGTCTGCAAGCCCACTTCGCCTGAAGGCAGCCTTTCTTCGACTTGGATCGCTTGTAATCCCCCAGTAGATCCTTTTCCCTGAGCGCGGCGTCGGCGTCTCGCCTCCTCCCGTTGCTTCATCCGCCGTAACCGCAGGAAACGGTCTCTGGCCTTTTGCGACCGCCATTGTTTCTTTTTGGACTTCGCCGCCTGCACCGTCAAAAAGTCCTTGCGCCACTTTGCAGCATAATGAGTCTTAGCCTCAAGGTAGTCCTTCCGGTCCTGACGGAGGGCGGCCTCCAATTCCGCTGTCGTCTTTGTCCACGCGTCCGGTATCCCAACCTTCTTCATCAGTCTACGTATTTTACGCAAACTCACCCGGCAACCCTTCCTCCCCTTCAAAAGGATCTTCCACAAGGATGGACGATCCCAAAACTGTTGCATCTTAGGAGACCAGGGCACCGATCCATTAGTGACCCGTCTACATTTTTCCCCCGCCTTTCGCCTTACGACGTACATCTGACGGTGCAGGCAGTTATAATGACGACCCATTATTGCTGTCATGGTCCCTTCATTTAGTTGTAGTTGGTGATGTAGGGACGCCAAGCGAGATGGGATGGAGTATTCCTCGTAGCCCTTGTGAACGAGTTGCAGGTAACGGCAGACTGCTGTAGTATCCAACATAGTAAGTTTGCGGGGTTTGTACGGGGTCTTCTGTGGTTTGTACCCGCCCAAGGATTTCTCCAGGTCAATATCAATCCAAAGACCGCGGTGGTCGCACGAGAAAAACTCATCAAAGTTGTAGTAGCCTCCTGCCTGTACAGCCACCCCAGAGGTCGTGAAAATGCCGTTGATCGGTTTGCCCCTTTTGTTCCGGTGCTGAGTGGCAGCCGTTTGACCGGGGTGTCGTTGGAGGATAGCTTCCTCCATACCAACATTGCGAAGACGTTGTCGAAAAGGAGAGGACTTAGTGGAGCTAATGTCCTCATTGGCGTCGACCCCCAAAATTACTTCACATCCTTCATCGCGCCATTGGGTGATGGCTCGAAGTAGGTCCACCATAAAGGCCTCCCTTGGTTCACACTGTCGACCTTGGGAGCGAAAGAAACTCCGGTGTTGTGCCCACACTGTAGACTCCCCAGTCCCCGGAGGGTTAGGTCGGTATGCCGACACCACAACCAAATCCCTAGAGAACCGGCTCCTTGAAGCGTCGGAAGCTTCGCGAACTTGATCGTCTAGTGTGGGCATTGCAAACTTCTTGCCTTGGACGCGTACATATGCCCACCTGCCCAATTTAGTTGGGTCCCGACCAAAAGATTTTGCACGGTGGGCAACTGAGTTCAAGATAGTTGCCACACATCCACCGTACTGCGAGCACGAGGCGATGGGGCGAGCTCGGTTCTCATTGTGCGCCGCGACCGAATAATATCCCTTAGATGCTACTTGTCGCATCCTATCGTTCCAGTGTTGACCTTCCAGAAGGGAAGGCCAGTGTGTGTTGGTCTCCGCCAACAACGCAATCCCCACTCGTTCTTCTTTCAACCACTGCTTAATCTGTTGTTGTTTCCATCCGGTCGCTGAGGCTGGAATGCCATTGACGTTCTGAAAGACAAGGCGAGTCGACAACTGAAGATGACATCTGTGATCATCGCCAAAAAATTCACCAGGGGAAAGAGAAATTAGAAATTCCTCAACTAATGCATGGGGAACACCCGTCGAGGGGCCACTCGTTCTTGATTGTCTGCCTGCTCGCCGTGACCTAGCGGCAGACGATCGAGGGCCTCTCATTGCCCTGCCGTGGAGCGGGAAGCTCCACGGCCGGCCAATGATGTCTTCTTACCCTTCTTGCCCTTAACCGGGACGGAGGGAGGAGACTGTTGAGGGTGGCGGAAGATGGGGAAGACCGACGGG